GTGTAGGCAGTTGTGTTGAGGAGCAGCTGCCACGGGATGCCCTTTTGGTCATTTTTAAACTGTTATCATCTTATCACGTCTGTTGTTACAGTTAGGTTTTTCTGCTTATCCATTATATCAATCATGCTGCTGCCATTTGACCCTAAAGCCTCCCACAGTTTGGCCTTGATACCCTTATTATTTGTCTGTGCTCCCCCTGCAGAGATGTGCACGTTTGTGTTCTTCTTATAGCTTGCTTAAAATAACCCTTTCACTTTCTAAAAGCTACTGAACTTGTTACATGAAAATAAAATGCAGGAACCCATACATTTAATAATTTTACTATAATGCTCATATACACATTTTACTTCCTCGGGAAGGTGAGAGCCAGTCTGCTGCCTTCTATAATTAATTTGGTAATCACAGTAACCGGCAAATAGAAATGTGCAGGAGGTGAAAAGGAATGGGCCAGCACTTGACTTTACCAGCTGAAATTTCAATTTGCATATTTAAGCACCCTAAATTTGGGGCTACTAAGTAATCATGAACATGTGCAAATATAATTTTGTTTCTTTTTTTTTCACAAGTAAGAATTTTTATTGTTTAGAGCCTTGACAATGACAGGTACATAGGCATTAAACAGATAGTCAAAAACAGCCATGTGATATCCAAAACTGTGTTACAAAGCAATAAACCAAAGAGGGTACAATAACAGTAGCTGAATGGGACCCACCATGGGAGATCCTATTCCAGTGTACTGGTATCACATTAGTTCACATACAGGTGAAACTCGAATAATTAGAATATCATGCAAAAGTAATTGCAGTAAGTTCTGCAAAAGGGGCCCAAACCAAGTACTGAGTACATATGCATGCTTGTACTTTTCAGAGGTCCGATATTGTTCTATGTACAATCCTTGTTTTATTGATTGCATGTAATAATCTACTTTTTTGAGGTTGTGGATTTGGGGTTCTTGGGGTTTTCATGAGCTGTAAGCTATAATCATCACAATTATGACAAATCACGGCTTGAATTATCTTGCTTTGCATGTTATGAGTCTATCTCATATATTAGTTTCACCTTTTAAGTTGCATTAGTGAAATAAATGAACTTTGCACGATATTCTAATTATTCGAGTTTCACCTGTAGTAGGATGGAAAAGAATACCTAGGTGGGGTGAGAAGGCAAGAGGGGGAAAGGATCCCGTCCGACCCACAAGTAGGGAGAGAAGGAAAGGGGGAAAGCGCAGCATAGTAGCGAGCAAGTAGGGGTAGTGTTACCGCTTTAAAGCTTTACATGCCTCTGAGTCTCGGAATAAATGCCACAACGTCCAGGTTTTAAGATATCTGGACATGTCATCTCTGCTAGAGTGGATAAGTTCCTCTATGGCTGATACTGTATCTATTCGGGACAGCCACTCCCGGATTGTTGGTGGGGATGGCGACTTCCAGTGTCTGGGAATCACCATTTTTGTCGCATTCAGCAGGTGAATTGTGAGGGATTTTTTTAGAAACATGGAGTGTGTCGTCAAAATGATATAATAGGAGGCTAGCTGGGGAGAATTCTATCGTGACTCCATTTATGGTTTTAATCAGGGTGTGGACAGCTGTCCAAAAGGGCGAGATCAATGGGCATGACCACCATATATGCAATAGGGAGCCCACTTCTCTGTCGCAGCGCCAGCATTGGTCAGAGGCATCCGGGTATATGTGGTGGAGTAAGACCGGGGTTTTGTACCAGCGTGAGCGAACTTTATAGTTAGTCTGCTGTACTTGGACATTCATGGAGCTTCCTAATAGTAGGGAATCCATTAGTTCCCAGTGCTGTGTTGTGAAGGAAGCTGAGAGGTCACGTTCCCATGCCTTCATGGAGGGTGTCGGTGGGAGGGTAGAGGAATCGTTCAAGAGGGAGTATAGAGATGAAATTGCATGTGTCACTCTCTGTTTGGAGGTGCAGAGCTTTTCAAAAGGGGTTAAAGCGCGGGAAAAGAGTCCTTTATGCGAGTGTGAGTTGAGGTAGTATCGTATTTGAAAATAGGACCACAGTGGTATGGGAGAGGAGGGGTTCACCTCGTTTAAGTCCGTGAGAGTGTGAAAGTTACCCTGTCGGTGGACCAGCTGCGTAGGAAGGATGCACACTGACCTGGGGGAAAGGCCAGGTTGAAGCGGAGAGACGTGAGAGGACCCGGGGTGGAAGAAAGGGCCTGTCTGTTGTTTATTGTGGTAAAAAACCCCTAGGGAGGTTGCTACCGTCAGGTGATTTAATACTTGAGTCGGTAGGTGTGGGCGTTATAGCCAGGGCCAGGAGCTGATGGGGGTGTCTGTCAGTAGCGGGGCATGAACCCCCCAGTCTATGATGCGGGCCATATGACACACCCAGTAATATCTTTGGATATGGGGAAGGCCAATGCCTCTGGAAATTTTGGAGCGAGTGAGGGTTTGGGTGCTAATTCGTGGGGATCTGTTGTTCCATAGAAATGAGCGAAACATTGTGTTCACTGGAGGTGAAAAAGGCCTTGGGAACTTGTATGGGTACCATCTGAAAGAGGTATAGGAGTCGTGGGAGGGCCGTCATTTTTAAAATGGCAGCTCTGCCAAACCAGGAATAAAGTGGTTTATTCCATTCCCTCAAATCTAACCTCAGTTGGGAAAGGTGCGAGATATAGTTTAGAGAGTAATTTTGTTTCTTTTTAAAGATAAAATTAGGAACAGCAATTTTGGATTCCAACTATATTAGAGTGACATTAAACCCTCAGATTTTTAAACATAAAACAATAGTGTAATGTGCGCCTTACTGTAATCCAGGGTTGTTTCACTTCTCTTTGCTGCTCTTCCTTTTAAATGCGTATCTCTTCTCATGCTGGGCAGAACTTCTGTTTTGCAGCAGACTGCCTTGTCTCTGGAATGGATACATGGTGTCTGTGTGCAGGTTCACAACCTGAGCCAGCACTACAGGAAGAGGCACTCAGCTGCAAAGGGAATTTCTCCCCCAGCAAGAGATAAGGATTTAAAAGGAAGAGCAGCAAAGAGAAGGGAAACTACCATGGATTACAGTAAGGCACACATTACAGTATTGGTTTATGTTAAAAAATCTGAGGGTTTAATGTCACTTTAAGCTATCATTCCCAAATAAATAAAAAATTTTAATCCCTAATGTGAAATACAAAATTAAATTATACCTTTAATTTAACCCCTGATTCTATGTGGCTGAATCAGATTACTGATTCAGAGATGAAGTATCCTGGTGAGGGAACTCTAGAGACATGAAATGTACACTTAAATGGCTTGGTATATAGAGAGGTCTTGTGGGGCCTGGAGAGTATAACAGACAGGTGGTTACTCAGGGACCCTAAAGTGAAAGAGACGGGTACAAACAGCTTGTTGCATTTCCCACTTGATGTGGGCTTGTTTAGAGGGGTGGTGTCAGATCCGGTGTTTTCCGTCTTTTTAGTGCCGTTGGATATTATATCGCCCTTCACAATATAAGCAAAGTCTGTCCTTCTTAATTTCTGTTTGGGAGACATGCAAATTACCTCTATCTGCATGGGCTGCTCAGGAGGTGACGGGGAGGCCACAGGGAAAATGTGGAGTCCGGTGCATTATTTAAACCTCAAAGGCCGTGTACTCTGGGTGTTAATTTTTAAACTTTGTTCTATGTACATTGCACTGCGGTACCATTCATTTTGAATGTCACACCAACGCACATAGTCAGTGTATTAAAATGAACAGATGTAAGCATGTGTGCGCTGTGGTGTGCTGCTCTACAAAAAGTGGCACAATTGCTTTGTAACCTTCTTTGCTATGTATTTACAAAAGTAATGAGCTGCCTTAATGCATGTTAGCACACGTAATACTGTGCATTAATGCAATGCAACATTGTGAATCAGGCAAAAACCTGGCAGCATATATCTTCCCAGACACTTGAACATTTTTTCAAGGAGATTTAAGATGAAGAAGATGAAGATTCATTGAAGCTAACTGCATTGCTATAAGTCACAGAACATTTTTTATTTTCTGCGGAAATAACAATAGTGAAGATGAGAAATCTGTTTTTTTTACATGAATAATTCTGGTGTTCTTTTTAACAAACTTCTCTTTAGCGTTAATGTATGCTAACAATATAATTTACATTAATGATATATACACTTACATGGTACATGTGTATATGGTGTGTGTGTGTATATATACAGTATCTCACAGAAGTGAGTACACCCCTCACATTTTTGTAAATATTTTGATATAATTTCATGTGACGACACAGAAGAAATTACACTTTGCTACAATTTAAAGTAGTGAGTGTACAGCTTGTATATCAGTGTACATTTGCTGTCCCCCTCAAAATAACTCAACACACGGCCATTAATGTCTAAACCAGTGGCAAAAAAAGTGAGTACACCCCTAAGTGAAAATGTCCAAATTGGGCCCAAAAGTGTCAAATATTTGTGTCGCCACAATTTTTTTTCAGCACTGCCTTAACCCTCTTGGGCATGGAGTTCACCAGAGCTCCACAGATTGCCACTGGAGTCCTCTTCCACTCCTCCATGACGACATAACGGAGCTGGTGGATGTTAGAGACCTTGCGCTCCTCTACCTTCCGTTTGAGGATGCCACACAGATGCTCAATAGGGTTTAGGTCTGGAGACATGCTTGGCCAATCCATCACCTTTACCCTCAGCTTCTTTAGCAAGGCAGTGGTCGTCTTGGAGGTGTGTTTGAGGTCGTTATCATGTTGGCATACTGCCCTGCGGCCCAGTCTCCGAAGGGAAGGGATCATGCTCTGCTTCAGTATGTCACAGTACATGTTGGCATTCATGGTTCCCTCAATGAACTGTAACTCCCGGGTGCAGGCAGCACTCATGCAGCCCCAGACCATGACACTCCCACCACCATGCCTGACTGTAGGCAAGACACCTGTACTCTTACAGTATATGTGTATATATATATATATATATATATATATATATATATAATTATTCTTTTTTTCTTTTAATATCTTTTATTGGCCTGAATGTTTTTATGCAGGTGCTCCGTTCTTGGGAGGAATATAAAATGGCAGCATCTGTAATAGAAACTGGAAAAAAGTTACTTGATGTTATAGAAAATACAACAAGCTATGTCCAAGCATTTCAGTTAAAATCGAACTGTAGTGATGACGTTGAAAAAACAAGGGATGGAGGAGAAAAAGAAAAGGTATGCTATGTTTTAAATATACACACAGAATAAAACGGTACTTAATATATTCAACACAGGAAATTATATCAATGATGTACTATGATACAGTCATAGCTATGCTTGAAACTTATTTTCAAATGATACATTATTACCTTTCTTAGTCTACATTTCCAAAAATTGATTTTGTAAAAAATATTAAATTTTCAAGTAAGAACTATTTATTCACCTATTGTTTTGCAGTAATAATAAAATGATTGCCAGCATAAGCTTGCCAACTTTCAAAAATTACACATGAAATAATAAGCATAGCCTGGTCTAGATGTTGGTCCAATTTATTCATCAGATTCCACTATATTAAATAATAACTTAGTGCAGGTAGAGTGCATATTGCCATGCTTATTATTTCGACTCCAGATGTTGAAATAGTGATTAATCCCTTCCTGAGAGCTCTATGCCTGGCCAGTATATAGCAGATGCAATCACTGCAGACAATCTTCATCAGATAGCTGAACTCACCAAATACCTTTAATACAAGAATATCTTTATTAAATGCAGCAGGTTACTGACAGACAATAGGATGTAGCAGATGGTTGAAATTACAGCTCAATGGAACACACAGGAAGAATGAGGGGGAGGAAACGGGGGAAAAAAATGTAAAAGGAGCAAATTAACCACAAGATGGCAGCATACCAAATATTAAACTGACACTAAAATCGGGAGTTAAAGGAGAACTAGGAGGTGAGTGAAAATCATAGTTCGAGCCGACGTGTGACAATGAAACTGTCACACGTCGGCTCAATAGTTCAGGAAGTTAGCGAACACATACCGTCGCTCACTCACTTCTCGATCCTGTCCCTGCAGAGAGCTGTGGCTGTCACGGCTCCCTGCAGGGATTCCCCCCTCCCCTGTCCTATCCTCCAGCGCTGACTGGCGGAACGGACGTGGGAGGGTACAGCTGGCTCTGCCTCTAGATAGGCAGAGCCAGCTGTCAATCACACAGCTGGGTGGATCTCGACAGTAATGTCGGGATCCGTCCCGGCTGCGGCGGTCTCAGCTCGCAATATACTGAGCTTTGGGTCACGGGTGGATGCTAGTTTGTGTCCTCCCGTGACCCTCAGGAGAACTATGGGGAAAAACACCCCATAGTTCTCCTTTTAAATCTTAAAAATAAATTCAAGCACCTTAACTATTAACAACAATGTATCCTATTTGTGTATCACTCGGCTGTAGATCCTCAAATCATCTCTGAATTGGTGCTGACACTGTCCTTCCTTCTGGAGGGTGGCTACTTTTGTTCCCCATGGTCCCTGTGTGTGTTGTAATATAGCCACCATTTCAAGCTTGCTCCCATGATGGACTACAAGCTCAATACAAAATTTTAAACTTAACATGAGATTGTTGTCCATCACGGGAGTGAGCTTGGAGCTGTGGCTACTTTACAGCACACGCAGGGACCATGGGGAACAAAAGTAGCCACCCTCCAGAAAGAAGGACAGTGTCAACCAATTCAGAGATGATTTGAGGATCTGCAGCCGAGTGATACACAAATTAGATACATTTTTGTTAGCAGTTAAGGTATTTGAATGGATTTCTAAGATGTAACTCCTGTGTTTAGTGTCACTTTAACTATAATATACAACAACACAAAACATTAATTATGGCAAACACAATACACATCAATGCAAGTACACTGCCATTAAGCTGCGAGGCAGCACGCTTATCGTACAGTCAAATGTAATGTAAAGGTTGATTATGTCACCGTAGGAATAAACAATTTGGGTTGAGTGTGACACAGTAACACTGTGTCTAAAAAAAATTGTTTTAATGTTGTAGCTACTTGGGCTACATGCACCTATAAATCAGAGCCTGTCAAAGGGGAGGGGTCACAGTGCATAGTGTTTTCCCAAGTAAGTTTGGTCAAGCAAGGCCTACCCCAAGCATGAGCCAGATGAGGACGCACATGATAAAGACGGTGATCTACTGCTTGCTGAGCCTGGCCCCACCCCTCCTCACCAAGAGAGCCCTGCCTTCCCAGAATCGCCCACTTAACCACTCTATTTCCGCCCTCAACTCTCTACTCCACCTGCTCTGACAGTTCGAGCATCTAACAGTGATTACACAGAATGACACCACCACAGGCTGACAGGAGATTGAGGACATAAATAACATAATCTTGTAACACTGTTGGTTCACTCAGTAAAGTTGGCCACACACAGCTAGATTCAATCTGGTAGAACAGCAACATTTGGCAGACCTTGAATTGTATAAGAATCTACATTAGATTATATCCAGTTTATCTTTACTAATACAAAGTAAACCTTATCTAGAAGATTAAAAACTGATACCAGATCAGGTGCACATGAAGGGGGGGCGCAGTTTGGCATCTTCGCCATGGGCGCAGGATAACCTTCTCCAGCCACTGCCACCAATGTCTTGGAAGGCAGTGGTATTAGGCTCTCAAATTTTTTCCAATAATGAATCCAGCACAAACAAATATACATTGCCCAGCAAAGTATTTTTTTTTCTTCCCAAAACTTAGTTATCATCTTTCCTAACAGCAACTCTCTCAGCTTTGCTTCCCTGAACTTTTGTTTAGTCCAAAATCACAAGGGACAGAGCAGACTCCAGCAGCTGTTCATCTACTAGGTTGGAGAAAGAAATCGGGAAGTGTCTTGCCTTACTGTGCCTGTGTGGTTGCGTAGACACACATACTGTAGCTATACTAGAACACACAAGGGTGGCTCTGTGGAACCCTACAAGGAAAAGGAGCCACCCTAAAACAAGATATCAGGACCAGTGCTCAGGGGACCAGCTGATTCTGCAGGAAATATGTAACTAGTAAGATTTACAGGGATATTCAAAAAAGGGTGAATTGGAGAATTTTTCAAAATCAGCTATGTTGTCCTAGATTGTTCACTTCCCCTGCCTTCTCCAAACTCTTCACCCTTTTGGGAATAACTGTTAATATTTTGGTTTAAATGAATATGTCATGCAAAATCATTTGTGCCATAGCCTAAGTGGAAGCCCATGTACTTTGTTTATGGGAAACCTCAGTTCTAAAGTGTATCTCTGTTCCCTTTGTATAGAATGCCAGGTCTATTACAATCATCAGGATTCTGTAGTGAATTCTGGGATTGTTGGTGACATCCCAAAAGCAGTATCGGTATGATATGTACCATAGAAATTGGCTCTTCACACACTCGTGGTCATTTTATATCTATTAAAGTGATGGCAGCATTATACAGATGTGAGAAAGGTGAACACTGTTTAGCTATGGTACACAATTTATTTTATCAGTTTACTACTATTCTGCGTCTATTTAAAGTGTGCTGGTGTGTGTTACTGATGGGTCTGGAATACTTTTACTGGAAGTTGTTCCCTATTAAAATGCCTGTATTACACAGTAGGGATCTATGTATAACACTGGAGCTACAGACACCACCTACTCTGTGCAAACATGATTTTTTGATAGAAGAGACTTTCTATGTCACTTGAACCAAAAAAACTCTGTTACCTGTATGCTAGCAAGTTTTCTCTTTGTGTCCACTGCCTGTGGTGAATGTGCAGTGTACATTCCTGGCATCTGAAAGATGCCATGTTTTAGGCCTTGTTCACACCAAGCGCGTTCCAGGAGCAGAGCAGTTACAGACCGGAGCAAAACTGCGTCCAATTTATTCCAATGGTATTTTTAGCTCCAGTTCACATCGCAGTGTTCCGTTCCAGAGCAGGTAAAAAAACTGCAGCAGGCCCTATTTTTACCTGCTCTGGAACGCATGCAAACGCATCAAAAACACATGCAAACACCTGGAACGCACTGAAAGCCCATTTTAAGCTTAAACAAAATATTTTTTTTTACCAAAAATGGCCCGGAACGCATCAAAAACGCTGCAAAAACGCGGCACAACCCACTGTACGTGCAGAAACTCATGCAGATCTGCTCTGCATTTGGTGTGAACAAGGCCTTAAAGTTGGATACGGGGATGGAAAGAAGACCAGGAGAAGATGGCAACACAGTGGATGGAGTGATGAGGGGGAGCACTGACCTCACATCACTGGAGAAGGCACACCATAATAACATAATGATTAGGTGTTTTGAAGATGAATGGAAATTAATCAACTTGACAAGTTTTCTTTATGCTGTATTCTCTGTAAAGATGTTAATTATTTTGTTTATTGACATGTAGGGATCCTTTCCCAAAAAGCATCAGAAAAAGAAGCCAGTTATTACGAAAAAGGTTAATGAACAGTTGTCTGCACTAGAAAATAGCTTTCTAAAATTGACTAAACCAGGTAAGGTATTTCTACATTTAAGCTATGGTGCCTTTTATTAAATATATACATGCAAGCTTGTTTAAGAATGCAACCTGAAATGCATTGAATGTAACCTGTGGCAACTGGATTACAGTATACTGTAGTATGAGCAGTTAATGAATGTTTTATGGGTTTTTTTTTGGTGCAGGCATATAACACACCATTACTTAAAAGTGGAACCCCAGTACATTTTTAATAGGATTAAAACCATTGTTTATGCTGTCTGATTCCTTGTTCGGGAAAACCCTCTTACTTTCTTTTTAATGGTCACCTGTCATCAGATCTGTGAGCAAAGGAAAATCTTTACTGGGTTGTTTATTGTATCTGAGGCACCATTAGGCAGATCCTTTTAAAATTTTAGTAATTGGGGGGAAGCTACTGATGGGAACACCTTTCCCTAGGTGACAACTGGCAAAGGTTGTCTCTCTAGGTTGTCTCTACAAAGGTTTCCCCCTCACTTTAGGCAATTTTCCTCTCACTGGACATAAGATAAAAACTTCTTATGGGTATACAATATAAACCTCATAGTGGTTCTCAGCTATTCCCACTCTAGCCATAACTTCATCATGAGTTCTATTTTAAATTGTATCTTAAGTGTCATAACCTCTGTCATCTGTTTGCTAGTTGGAGAGATTTCCCTTTACTTCCTGTTTTGTAAACATAACTGGAATTGAGGGGAAATCCAAAGTAAAGGAAATCTCCTCTTTGACAGTTGTCAGAAGAACAGGTTACCATTGGAAGATTTCCACTCTATTCTTTTCTTGGTGATAAGGCAAAATATGGCATTTTCCCTTACCTTTTGTTCTAGTGACAACAGTCAGCAGAACAAAAAGAGCAGGTTAATCTAACTAGGGAAAGAGACAGCTATAGAAACCAGACAGGGGTTTTAACCTTCCTCACTCTGTCCGAAGCTAAGTAAAAGTTCTGGATTCAGATGGACTTTCCTTTTAAGGATAACTAACTCTCTGTAATCCCTCTCCCCGCCAGCATACTCCCCAAATCATACACTTACCGGTCCATGGTCTTCATTTTTTTTTTAATGTAAGGTAAAAAAAGTTGTAAGTTAGAAATGTTAGTACAACAAACAGTCATTTCTGTGAATCATATTAATGCAGATAAACCTGGAGAGATTACTTTCCCCAGTTTGACCTCTTCTGATGCTTGTAAGAATCAAAAAGGGGGCACAGTGCGGTCTCTTACCCTTCTTTTCTTTTACATTTGTTCCCTACTAACAGGTTATTAAGAAACTGTAAGATACTAATGAAAAGAAAGGAAGAACAAGGGGTAAAGAAAGGTCAGAGGAAGGAAAGAGAGAGAAAAAAGGGGTTCCTCAAAGGCATTGGCATAATCATACAAACTAAAGTAAATGAGTGTCATTAGAGTGTGATCATGATGAAACAGGCCTCGGTACGATTTGCAAGCTGTTCTGCGAATCTTGCTCAAAATTCAGGGAACCTGAACTTTGCAGAGAACCCCCATGAAGTCTGTGGGGAGTCAGTCCTGTAACTCAATTTTGGCCATTTGTAGGGCTAATAAGCAAGCTATTGTCAAACTAAAGATATTGGAAATTGTGGACTGCCATGGGGGCATATGTCAATGCAACAAATAAAAAAAATGAAAATACTGTTCAGCAGGGAGAGGGCTTTTTCATAGATCCCATAGTTACAAAATCTACTTTGTAAAAAAATATAAGGAAACTAGATCTTGTTATGACATATCCATTTGGTGGTTACCACGAGTAACCATCAAATGCTCTGTTTCTATAGTTAAAGGAGAACTATGGGGTCAGGGGTTTTCCCCATAGTTCTCCTTAGGGTAACGGGAGGACACAAACTAGCGTCCTCCCGTCACCCTAAGCTCAGTATACCACGAGCGCTGGCGGATCGGAGCGGGGGGGGGAAATCCATCGCCTCCCCTGTCACGGCAGTGACAGGATCGAGAAGTGAGCGAACTGACAGTCTCATTGTCTCAGGTCGGCTAGAACTATGAGGTGAGTGAAAAGCACTCACCTCATAGTTCTCCTTTAATATTGAGTCTGCTAGGTGCACTGTCTCTCTACCTTTGCAACAGATCCATTAATGACTTATGCTAAAATCATCTTGGTCGAGTGGCTGGCTTTGCTTGTTGTACGGCCAGATTTCAAAAAGGACTCTTATTATTCTGACAATGTTTTTGTTAATAAGGTATGCACATGTTCTTGTTCTTGTTCTCCATGTTTTACAACCCTATGTGATGTGCTAGCTTTATAAATGCTGAATAACAATATTAATAATGATCACTGTCAAAGCAAGAGATATTTATTAATATGCAAAGTAAATTATGAGAGGAATTGGTTGCACATGTATAACAGTGCTGAGTACAAATGATAGAGATATATTTCATGAGAAGCATAAATAAAAGTGCTTGTGTTAATCCAGAAGTAGACAGAAATCCCTTTTATTTTTGTATTTCTATGATCCATTGAATAAACTGCTTTGTACACATTTGTTTACAACAGCGTGTCATCAAGAACACATACTTATGTTCTCTGTCAAGCAATACCTTAATATAATTTCCCTAATATCCTATACATTCTTAAACAAAGGAAAATATCTAACTATGGGGACTCTCCTAAATGTAATTAGCTTAACTTGTGGCAATTAAATTAACAAGTGTATAACTAAATCAATGAGATATGCATCTTAATCAGCTAATTATGCAAGTTGGTTCCTGAAGCATGTGATGAATTAATTAAGTCAGTTTACACTCTAGTCATTAAATTATATTAAAAAAAATAGGATAGTTTTAGATTTTAATGGCATGAGACTGGAAATAACCTTAATATTTTCCTTTTAATAAAGTATATATAAATCCTTGGCTGTGGTCATATTCCATGGCTGTATTTTGAACCAAAATTTGCAGTTTATTGCTAGATTTTATGTTTGTCTATCGAAATGAAAGCACGTGCTGTAAGGTTATTTCATATATTAAATAAATCATAATATGAAACTGAAATAAAAGTATTGCACATATGGCTAATGTGTATGTATTGCCACCAAAGTTTAAAAACTGCAAGAACTAAAACTGACAAAGGAGTGACAGTGCCTTTGAAACCTGTAGGGTATATCTGACATGTTTGAAAGCTCAATTCCAGGCAAACAGTGTTTTACATTTAAAGCACAAATCCATGTAGATATATGTTCATTAATCAGGCTCTGCTGCTCTGCACATGTGCTGATAGAAAACATGCTGATGGCAGAACAGAGCAGAATGATGTCTCAAAATGTGCTGCTGCATCTTCATTGTCTAGCTATTAGGACTTGTTCACACAATTTTCTGGTCCAGCTCTGGAGCAGATCTGCAGACGCTGTGCTATGCGTGCAGTGCGTTTTTGACGCGTTTTTTACCGCGTTCCAGTGGGGGGGGGGGGGGGAGGGGGCGGGGGGGGGGG